CATATGGTACTCATTAAATTGACGATATAGAATGTTAAGTTTTTTTAAAATTTGTGGGGTATCACTTATAAATTATGATAATATTGCAGGATATTGGAAGTTACAATCCGGATGGCCATGATTACACCTCGGATTTCATTGATGGCGTGAAATTCACTACGGAGTTGCAAGCATATGAAGCAGCTACTGAGATTGCCAAGGGTTTTGGGTTTTATTTGGTGAGGGCATCGAACAAAAAAAAATAAGAATGAAGGTACTTGGCGACATTACTTACATTGCACTCATGGTAGGAAGAAGAAGTCGAAGGAACCTGATCCGAGTAAGGAAAGGAGGCCTCTTACATCTACTGAAAAGTTGGGGTGCGAGTTTCAGATCAAGCTTGAGCGGTCAGGTGATAGATATTGGTTGATCCTAGGGGTGGCAAATACAAAGAATCCTGGTGCTAATTTGGGTTTCCACAATCATCAGTTGGAGCTATTTCTGGAGGGATCAAAGGGAAGGAATGTTTTGACTACAGAGGATAAGCAATACATCAGAGAGCTGAGATCAGCCGGTGTCCCACCAAGGAATATCCACAAGGCAGTGAATGAGAGAAAAGGTGCAAATGGAACACACAACAGAAAGCAGATTTATAACGAGTTGCAAAAGATAAGGAAGAAGAGCTTGGTCAGATGACAGCCTTACAATATACTTTCCGCGTGGCGTAGGAGAAGGGTTACTATGTGCAGTATATGGATGATCGTAATGTGCTTACACACTTGTTCCTAGCCCACCCTGAGTCAGTAGTGATGTGCGAGCTTGGCGCCATGTGATCGTGATAGATGCAACATACAAGACCAATAAGTATGATATGCCTTGGGTTGAGATTGTCGGCATGACACTAGTGGGATTGAACTTTGTCATTGCATCTGCAATAGTGTACGACGAGACGAAGGAGTCGTACTAGTGGCTTCTGACACATTTGCAACATCTTCTTGGCCCCATTGTTCCAGATGTGTTTGTTAGTGACAAGGCAGGAGGATTGGTTGAGACCGTGGGGGTAATGTTTCCATCATCGACTCATATATTATGTCTTTGGCATATGGATAGGAATGTGAGAGCAAAGTGTCTAGCGGAGGTGCGAAGGACGACTCATTGTGGTATAGATGCAGCCAAACCGACACTGGATCATATCATGGCTTCTTGGCTATATGCATTGACAGTGGAAGACATGAATACTGCCTTAGACAATTTTAGACGTAGTTGGGGAGTACAGTACCGACATCTTTGGGGGTATATGACAGCTGAGTGGTTACCAGTTAGACACATGTGGGCTAAATGTTATACCAATCAACTGCGGCATTTGGGTAACACAAGCTCTAATAGGGTTGAAGCTGCTCATTCCTCCTTCAAGAAGTGGCTTCAATCATCTACTGGCGCAGTCGACACGGTTAGTCTCCTAATAAATCTTCATTGATACACATAAATAAGTTTTAGTAGTCTCCTAATTGTTCTTCATTGTCTGTAGGTATTCAAGAAGAACGATGATTACATTGAGGCTCAACACCTTCAAATCAGGAAGCTTCTAGAGGATTCCTGTCAAAAGACTATGTAACTGCTGCCGGAAGCCGGACGGTACTGGTCATGTGGTATCGTCATAGAACGGGGGATAATCTGTCGGTATCCAAACTGGCGCAGACAACGTGCATGATCGTATCCCTCAGCAATGTCAGAAAAGCGAATGGGGCCAGTATACAAGGAGCGAGGTATATCTGTGTGGCCATCTCGTCCGTACGGAGTCCAGGTCACATCATCAGCTGAAAGCTCATCCAACAACTGTCGATAACGTGCTAACCTCTGTCTAGCCTCATCCCCACCTGGCAAACGGGGAGAAATCCACGAGGAAGCACGAGGTGCATCCGGAGACTGCGGCAGCTAGCTCGGACAGAATAGAGGAAAGTAATCATATATCCAAGCCTGAAGCAGGGTCAAACAACCACAAAGACCCTTACTACCCGCTCGTGTGGCCACTCCCAACTGTTTGTAGAGATAGGCTAGTGCACCAGCTCCCCAAGCGTAATCAGTCAATCGTCGATGATCCTTCAGAAACAAGTTGATCGCAGGACGAAGGCGATCACGACTCTTATCCACAAAAAGCATGGATCCCAGTAACACAAATAGGTAACACTGCACCTCCATCTCCTTAATCTTCAGCTCTCCCCCACGCACCAACAATCCCTCTGCATGCATAGCACCATTATCGTACCACTTAGACTTCCACTTACCACCAACCTGAGCATCCACCGAAAGTCGAACTAGACCACCCATATCTGACTTAAGAGTATCCGGCGACGCCTCATCTCCCATCAACTCTTCGTCAACCGGTATCCGAAGAATGTGATGCACATCGTGTAGAAGGATCGAAATCTCTCCAAACGGCATGTGGAAGGTGTTTGTGTCCGGCTGCCACCTCTCCACAAATGCCGACAGTAGAGCCATGTCTAAATGCTGCATCATGCACCCTGTCAAGTGAGACAATCCCTTGGCTTCAACCATCTCCTTGGAACCCTCTGCACTCCACTTATGTCGCCTCAAAGGCTCTACAGCTTTCGGCCTATGGAAGCCGTCCAACACTCCACGGTCCTGCTCAGGGGAAGTCCACAGTACAAAGCCAATGTGACCTCCAAAGCTAGGGATCACATCGGGAATCACTGGTCCACCTGAACACATCGGAGACTCGGCTGTAAGAAACCACGACATATCTTTCCTCGTGGTCATCCTCTTCCTATTTCCATCTCCGCCTTCCTCGCTACTAGGTCTGGACGCATAACGTCCATCGGGCCCACGGAAGTGTGAGGAGGCAGTAGAAGATATCCCGACCCGCGCCGTCTTCCCCATGCCTAAATCAGCTTGAGATGGGGCATCCCCAACCTCAGCATCACCAGCATCATCACCAGCATCTGGTGCATTCCCAACCTCAGCATCACCGTCATCATCATCATCCTCGTCAATGGAATCACTACAATTAGCATGCCATACCGGTGCGCTCTCTGGTGTAGGAGTACTGGTAGTACCTCGACTAAGAGACAACTGCACCACAGTAGGGTGGCCGTCAGGACGCACTACATCCGCCTTCTTCTTCCTTCTAACCTTAGGTGGATTTTTTTCTTCATTTTCCTTCCTACCAGTCGCAGTAAGTCTACAAGAACGACCTTCCATTCTCTCCTTATTTCTCGTCTTAATCATATCCGGTTTACCCATTCCATGTCCAGACATCTTAAAAAAAAAGTTTGAATTATTAATAATGGATTATTAATAATAGAGTACATAAAGTAATTAATTTAAGATTCCATAATTAAAATTATGACTAAATTATTTTTATAGAGTACTATAATTAAAATTAATCATTTCTCGCCTTAATCATTTCCATAATTAAAATTATTATTCAATAATTTAATAATAGAGTACTATTATAAAATTAATAGTTTGAACATTTATGTTACGTTCTATGTAATCATTATTTACATAAAAGTAAATAATTAATAAAGGTAAAATTATGAATAATTAAGTAGATAAACGAATTACTTTTAAATTTTGATTATTAAAATGATAAAAATACATTTTTAATTTTTTTATAATGTTCTTTAAATTTGTTATCATTAATTAACATTTATCGAATACGTTTTTTAAATTTTTATATCATTATTGACAAAATATATAACTAAATTATTTTTATTAAGTATATTTTTTAATTAATTTTATTGTTATTAACATTTATTGAATAATAAAAAACATAATAGAAAAAAGCGGTCAAACCGCGGTTGAACCGACGGTCAGCCTCTGGTCAAACCGCGGTTTGACTACGGTTTCAACTCTCACCTTCTTCTCCGTCGAGGCTGGACGGCGGCGAGGGACGGCGGCGAGGCTTGCGACGGCGGGAGCTTCTTCTCTGGCGACGGCGGGACCTTCTTCTCTCGCGACGGCGGGACCTTCTTCTCCGGCGCGCGATCTGCAGAGGGTGGAGGCGACGGCGGGACCTTCTTCTCCGGGGCGCGATCTGCAGAGGGTGGAGGGGGTTGCCGGCGAGACCTTCTTCTCCGGAGGCGGGATGCAGAGGGTGCCGGCGGCGGGATGAGATTGCAGAGGGCAGAGGGTGGAAGGGAAGTCCCGCTGGAAGGAGGGTGAAGGGGTGAAAGGGCTGTTTGGCTGGTCCAATTTTTAAATTTTCATTAAGGGTATATATGTATTTGACTTTTAAGTTAGTGCAACGTTTAGCAATTCTTAGGGCGACATTTAGCGATTCAGTAAAAGAATTATATTCAAATCAAAATAGCTAGGTAGGAACGGTCCAAGATAGGGTCAGTAACCACACGGGAGCCGTAGGATTGGGAATGGAGCAATCGTGTGGCTGGGCTGGATGTGGGGTGGGGAGGGGCATTTTTGTCCGTTTTTGTATTTTTAATTTTTATTATTCATTCCGCATTTCAATGGCTGACTTTTCAATGAAAGAGAGACAATGCATTTTCTCTGCAACTCAACTTTCTTCCTTCTCTCTTCTTTTCTTTCAATCTCTTTCGAGATCCTTTCTCTTTCTCTATTTCTTCTCTCTTACTTTTTCTTTCACAATCTCCTTTTCAAATTTAGATATGCTCTCTTCCTTCTTCATTTTTTTTCTCTAGCAATCGACGAATAAAAATTATAGCCACTCTCTTTCTTTGCATTTCTTCTCTTCATCAACTCGTTGGCCTCAATTTCGATCTTTCTCATTTTTTTTGGCATTTTGGTGTTCTTGATTGAGGAAGAAGAAATGAGAGGCATCAGAAGACGATTTTTTCTCTCCCTCCTTCTGTTTTTTTTCCTTTTAGATAATATATATTGATATTATGACTCTATACCATATGGTATTGGGTGGTAACGAAATATATATTGATATTACCACACTATACCCTATGGTAATGTATGGTATTGCGTGGTAACGAAATATATATTGATATTACCACTCTATACCATATGGTATTGTGTGATATTACCATACTATATTATATGGTATTGTGTGGTAACGAAATATATATTGATATTACCACACTATACCATATGGTATTGGGTGGTAACGAAATATATATTGATATTACCACACTATACCCTATGGTAATGTATGGTATTGCGTGGTAACGAAATATATATTGATATTACCACTCTATACCATATGGTATTGTGTGATATTACCACACTATACCATATGGTATTGGGTGGTAACGAAATATATATTGATATTATCACACTATACCATATGATATTGGGTGGTAACGAAATATATATTGATATTACCACACTATACCATATGGTATAGACTGGTAATAACTGGAAAAAAATTTTGTGTCAAAAAAATATCAAAGTGGATATCATTTTGAAGAGCATAATTAATCTGATCTAACTGTGCAAAAAAAAAATTAAATTTCGACTTAAAACGAGTGAGAAATCGTCCGTTAAAGATTAAGAGAAGGAAAATTAAAGGTTTTTCGATGAGAGAGAAAGAGGTCCTGATGTGGTCGGTCAAAAGTCAGCGCGTCAGCAATAAATATGTGATAAGTGCATTTTACCTTACTGCCCTTTAGCATTTAATTTAAATAAAAAAGTAACTGACACGTGGAGAGAGGAGAGAGGAGTTACTGATGGGTTACTCACCCATTATTTACTCACCCGATCTGCTCCCGGTAGGAACCATACCAATTACCAAAAATGCATCATACAAGCATAAAGCTATGGATAAGGAATATTTGCTCAAAATGAAATTCCAAAATATATTTACATGATTAATATCTACTAAATTAAAGTAGGCAGCCCTATAAATGAGCAGACCTAGTACTTGTTCTTTATTTTGGCAGCGGGCCTTTGGCAAGTGAAGCGGCTTATACGGAGTGAGAATCGTCGTGCCAGTTATATAAGGATTTGTTTCGTTGTTTCAATTTTCAGCATGGTTAATTCATGATTTTGATCTTTTAGAAAAAATCATGAATTAACAATGTGCTCTTATTTTAATTGTTATATTTCGTACCTGTTTCTATTAAGCAACGTTGGAAAATTCGATTGAAAAATGTCATACCAGAGGCAAGGAAGCAAGAAAGAAAACAAATAGAAGGAAAGGGCATTGGGCCACCGCCACTCAAAATAAAATGAAGTGAACCGACTCTCAAGTGAAACTTCTCTCTCTTACTTTAATTTGAAACCTAGTGCTCTCCACTCTCTCTAAAAGAGGTCCCTTTTTCCCCTTCTCTTTAGGGCTGCCGTCGGCTCCCTTTGGAGACCGGCGGTGGCCCAATGCCCTTTCCTTCTATTTGTTTTCTTTCTTGCTTCCTTGCCTCTAGTATGACATTTTTCAATCGGATTTTTCAGCTTTTTAGCTTCTCCAGCCTTTATGGCCTTTCCTTGCCCTGTTCTATGGTTCCTTTCTGGATTTGCTCTCCTTGGGGTTGGGTTATGCACTAGGGGTCTCCTCTCTAGATGGTGGGCTCATCAACATGCATGATGAATCGATTCATCGATTTCCCCTCCATTCCCCATGTTGGTAGTTCTCTGCCTCTAGGTCGGTGTCGGTGGAAGGAAGGCGGTGTCTGGCCCTTATGGTTGCGGTAATAGATCTTGGATTTTGGGGTTTGGTTCCTCTTCTCCCTTGACCAAGTTCTTGGTGCCTCGTCTCCCTATGCTTTTTCAGCTCGGAGCATTTCGATCCTCTTCCCTTTCCACCGCCATGTAATCCCTCACAAGAGATACACTGTGTTGAGCGTCTCCAAGCGACTCCCAGGAGGCGGCCTATGGCGTTATGTTCAATTGCCATGGACTCAGTTGGATCAGACGAGCTGATTGTGCTTGGTGCTCTCAGATTTTTTTGTGTTGATCTTTTCTGTGTTTTGTTATTCCCTTGTTGTATTTCTTAAACACAGATTGTTCAACTGTGCTTGAATTTGTTTGGCCTTGATCTTTTCTAGGCTTCTTTGTTGGCTTGCCTTGTAACCTATCTTTCGAAGAGCCATACAAGTAAATTCTTTGTAAGAGAAAAAAAACCTTACATCAACATATTTTGAAAGCTTAAATGAAAAAGAATTTGGGTTCATGATGTATATTGTCAGTATCTCTGTCCAGTGCGCAGACCATAAAGAGATGTTGGGATTAATAAGTACATTTGCCTATGGGAAATTGGTATATACTATTCAGGACGGCAAATGTGTAGCTTTGCAGGTTTAAGTAGGTTATGGATAGGGTTAGCAACTCTATGGTACATAACCTTTAATAATTAAATATGTGTTTTTATTTTAAGTGGGTCTCATATCTAAAAGGTGATATTAATGACTTTTTTAGTATATATATATATATATATTAGTTTTTTAATTGGTTCTTCTCTTCATTTTAATCTGAATTTCAATTTTTTTTATACAAATAGAACAAGTTAGTTGTTCTCTACAATATGAGAGAAATTTTCAAATATATTTCAAGATTAAAGGATTTCATACCACTCGTTACCAGTGGCCTAGCCAGACTTTAAACTGACTGGGTCCTTAAGAAATTAGCAACACTATAATCTATATATCTAATAAATTTTGAGTTGATTGGGGTCCTAGTTATAGTATGTATCAGAAAGTATGGGCTCCTATATCTGTAGAATCATACCAAAACCTGTTTATCTAATGAATTTTTCTCCCAAAATTTTGCCAAGTGGGGTTACAGGTAGGGGTGAACAAACACACCGGCAAACCGACCCACCCGTCCAACCCGACCCAACCCACCCGTATTTATCGCTAAAACGAAGATTTTGGGTTGGGTGAGGGTTTTCTTTTGTACAACCCACCTCTATTGGGTTGGATTTGGATTTTGGATTACACAACCCGTAGAACCCGACCCAACCCGTGTTCCAATTATTGGTATGAGTTCGTGTCCAAAAAAAATATATATGTCATATATAGTCATACTTATGAGAAAATTAAGATATTTTGCCATGTTTTTCTCTTAAGGTCTCACTAATCTAATGCATTTTTCGACTTAAAGTTTAGACATATATTTAATATACCTATGATTAACGTAATTCTTTTTCTTGTGTAGAATTTTAATAGAATAACATAATATGGATGCGTTCATTTGTAACCTTTTTAGCCTATTTCAACAAATGTCGTGAAAAAAAACTAGACATAAGTTGAAGTAAATAAAATTTTATTAAAATTCAAACATTATTTGTGAATTTTGATACCTTTCACCTCGGTTTATTCGTTTGAATTTTTAATTTGTTATAAAATATTTTTATGGTGTAGAATAATTACATATTTTGTGTTGGGTTGTATTTTTACTTAAAAATATCGCCAACCCGACCCAACCCAATTAGAAACAAACCGTAGGGTTTAAATTTTTTTGGGTGAGTTTGGTTTAATATTTCTCAAACCGTAGTGCATGGGTCGGGTGATTAAAATGCCTAAACCCGGACCACCCGACCCATGTACACCCCTAGTTACAGGACCCCTCTCCTCATGGCTTCCCTCTGCCACTGCTCGTTACCACTTCATACCATATGATATCTCCTTCGCATTTAAGTTAGTTTTGATTTTTTTTTTTTTTTTTCAATGGAAGAACGAGTTCATCATGATCTATTATATCTACAAAATTCTGGAAAAAAATACAGACATAAAAATACCACCCAATACCACCTTGGTTAGGGTTAGGGGTAGTATCTTGTGATACACAATATTGAAAGTTGTAAATGACAGTTAGTATATTCCTACTATCATGTATTCAACCATTTTATAATCTCGTATGTTCATACCATCATGATACACTTCCATACCACGTAATATGCTCTTATGTAGTACCAAACAATACCACCATGGTATAGAGCGGTACTAAATGTCTCAAAAAAATTTATTCCAAAAATAAATCGAAGTGTATATCATTTTGAATAACACAATTAATTATATTTATATTTGCAAAAAAATAAATTCTGACTTAAAATGAAAGAGATATATTCCGTTAAAATTTAGAGTATGAAAAAAAACTTTCCATAAATAATGAGATGATGCTCTTGTGCATCGGCTCAAGATAGGGTGCATAACCATGGATTATGCACCCATCAATAATCAAATCTGAACCTTTCATTTAGAAAATCCCGATCTAAGGATGAAGAATTAAATGTCATTTTTATTTACCCTAGCTTTCTTAATCCGTTTATGTCTTTTTCGTTTTAACTCGGATTTTAATTAATTTATTTTTTTGCACAGATGGAACGAGTTCATCGTGCTCTACAAAATGACATCAATTTTCAATATTTTTTGAGAAAAAAAATTATGGCCTCTCAGTACCAACTGCATACCATATGGTATCTTCTTCGTTTTTAATTCGTTTTTGAAAACGTTTGCACATAAGGGACGAGTTCATCATGAACTTTTAGATCTACAAATTTCTGTATAAACAAATTTCAGGACAAAAAAATACCACACAATACCACCCTAGTACGGGGTGGTATCGTGTGGTACACAATGTTAAAAGTCGTAAATGATAGTTGATATACTTATACTATCATGTATTCAACCATCCTACAGTCTTGGTTTGTTCATACCACCATGGTACGCTTTTCAAACCATATGTATGCTCTTATTTCAATACCAGTCAATACCATATGGTATAGACTAGTAAAAATTGGCTCAATTTTTTTGTTCGAAAAATATATCAAAGTGGATATAATTTTAAAAAGCACAATTAATCTGATCTAACTGTGCAAAAAAAAATTAAATTTCCACTTAAAACGAGTGAGAAATCGTCCGTCAAAGATTAAGAAGGGAAAAATTAAAGACTTTCCAGAAGAGAGATAAGAATGTTGATGTCATGCTGATGTGGACGAGTTACTCATAATTACTTACCATAAGGTTACTGACCTAAATGGATGTTACTGACCTTATCCTTTCCCTTCGTGGGACTTAATTGGGGAAATAATTAAGGACGAAGGAACACAATACACATCGACTTAAATGTAGTAACCTGTCCCCATTCATTAACTGCTGATTTCCCCATGCCTACGGTATGGCTCTACACTATTATAGGCTGCAAATAAAATCCCCAAACACTTGACATTAATAGCACCCTGTCAAAACATTTAATGAGCAACGTCCCGTTAACATTTATTCACCAACTTCCTCATCAAGTCATCCACTCATAAATCACAACTACTTGTGATGCAAGGATATGCATGATTAAAGTCCATCCAACACGCTGAATAATGAATATGGATGAAGATTGCTCTTACTCTCTGAGATATGGCATTGGCAACCAAATTAGCTTCGGTCCAGTTAGACTTCTAATGCACATCAGAGTTGGAACATTCTAGCACGATACTCTGCCTCAATGGAATGCAAAACACTCACTTCAACTGTCACGCACCAGGTTAGAAGGACCCTAATCTCAATGTCACTAGCACCATATTTCAAGATCAAAAAAGTTTTGCCCACGCCTATTGTCCCAGATGAGCCTACACATATTGTCCCAATGGAGTGAAAACTGAAAGCAAAGAGCCAAAATTCAAAAACAAACAGCCCCAATTATGAACCCTGCATCGTCTGAAACAAACAGTACACTAGGGAAGCCCACAAAGAGATAGGAATAGAGGATTTTGGAGGACTTTTCAATGTTACACAGCACTACTATTAAATACAGCCCCCACCCATATAACTATTGCAATCCCACGCCCCCAGCAACAGTTAGAAGGAATAATGTCATCTAGTATCCCTTTCAATTCATAAGGTGGTTTGCAAACATAAATGGTGTCTATGATAGGATCCGCAATAATTGTTTCTGATTCATCTAAGCAATCTTTCGTCAGAAAGGCTACAGCTGACCTGTGTGTACAGTTTTTCCACCAGGCGTTCAGGAGATTACTCGGATGAACAAGACTTTGATACGCGAGCTTGCATACGAGGGCTTAAACTCTCGATTCATGCGACCTTCTGCTAGAATCTTCAGGCCTTTATGCGAACCACGAAAGAACCTGATTACGGGTTCACAAGCATGACAAGCATAGCAATGATCAGAATGCAGTGCTTTGGCTAAGAAGAGTACTGGGTAAAAACTAAAAAGTTTTTGAGTTAAAGGGCAAGCATCTCTCATGCTCTGCCTGAGTACACGTTGTGATTAAAGATGGGAAGAACACGTCGATCAGGAAAGTCAGGATGACTTGTACAATGGCTTAGAGGTTACATATTGGTGTGGGAGCAATATCACAAAATGGATCACACATAAGGGTCTTGAAAGGGTTAAATACCATATCTAAACTCAAATTCCATCGAATAGAAAGCCTAAGAACACACTACATGTAGCAGTAAGTGACCTATAGCTGACACATTGTAGGTTCAAGTAATATCAAGAGCCACTTGGTATTATGAGAACCAGAGTATAACTCATATCCAAGCAGATCACAAATGATAAGTCAATCAAATGATCCATTGACATTATGGATAAGAGAATACCGTGGGTTCTGACAAGATAAAAGGCATTTGGGTTGCAACCAAAGAACTGTATCTATCCAAACTTCAGTAGAGAAATCGACACTCACCAGGCTGTAAAATCAATCTTCTAATAAGGCTTTATGGGAGGAAACATAAATTGCTTAAAGAGAAGCAATTGAAGGACAAACATGCTACAATAAGAATAAAAGACATTCGGTTTTCCTTAAACAGAATATCAACAAAGTCTTGACAACTCACAACTGACCATGGCAATGACCATTTGAGCACAGAGAACAAGCATAACTACGCAAAGTAAGTAACTAAGTATGATTCAGGATACTCACAAGCTGGAAGGTTAGATATATCAGCAGAAACCGCACAAGGGATCCCGAGATTCGAAAGAGCCCCTCTAATAATCCCACAAGGGAAATAGAGATACATGCTCATTGCTTGAGCAGCCTTACTTTCAGCCAAAGCAGCAGGATCCTGAGGAACTCCTTCCTCAGCCGTGGGATCCAGTGACATCCTTGCAAGCCAACGAAACCGATTGTCTTGCAACACAAACGTTCCCTACAATGCAAAATCACAAAGATAGGAAGTAGCTCGTCTCACACTTCCAACAACAACAACAACCAAAATTCACATGGAAACCAAAGCCAAATATGAAAGAAGACGAATTCAAATCTCACTCTATGGTTCGTCTTCAAGTTATCGATCTGCTTCTTGAAAAGCTCAGACCAAAAGTCCTTGCAGATGAACTTAATTGCCTCAAGATGATCGCTAAACCGAGGCCTCTCCATCGTATACCTAACACAAACACCAAACTACCAGAAAAATTATCACCTTTCACTCAGCACTATGTTCGCTATCCAATTTAATCGAACCACAACCCAAATGACATGAAACAAAACGAGATCTGAAGAATCAAAGTTTCCTCCACACTCTCCCAGGCCAAGCAGAGTAAGGAAAATCGCGAAGTAACCGTAAGCTAAACACATACAAATGGGAAAGAACGGTTGGAGCTCCGATCCGATGTTCTAAGCACAGACAGTGATCGGAATTGACAGCTTACCGCTCGGAGAGCTGGTGACCGACTTGATAACCGATGGCCTCAATCCTGCGGGCGGCGAGCTCAGGCTTATTGGCATAGAAACGGTTGCAGTACGACGACACCATCTCGGTGAGTAAACTGTCGATGCAACTCTCCGACACTTCTCTCCCCATTTCTCCTCGGGTTTTCCGATCTCACTCCGCCGGTAAATGGGTTTCCGGTCACACGGCTTTGGTGTGGGAATAGGATAGGATGCTCTTTCTCAATCTCTGAACTACTACGACGAGCGTAGAAAGGACAAATGAGAACGCTGCTTGTTTTTTGAATGGGCCTGGCGGGATTTGGGCTAGAATTCCAGCCCATATGTAACATATGTTGATTGACACAGGTTATTTGGGTGAATAGTATGCGGGTCGTTTGGAAGTTAGGAGTCTAAATGAGTGATTCTGTGAATGTGTGTATTATTTACAATCTATGATATAAACTTATTCAGAATGCATGCATTTAATTGATACTTTAAAATATCAAATGGCTAGAATCATTCATTTTAGAATTTCTACAAAAAGATGAGATTCTCTTGCTTTACTTTTGTAATTGCTTTTTGCACCTCTTATCCTTATTTTTTTATATATATATTTCATATTTGCCCCCTTCTTTAGTTGACTATATAAAGAGAACCTCAAGGTTATATAAGTCTTTTTGGTCATTAAAGTGAGAATCACAACTACCAAACAACATATTCTTACAATCATCTATTTTTTACAATCACTACACTTAGAATACATACATTGTAAGAATACACATATTCATAGACTCCCAACTTCCAAACGACCCCTAAATACAATTGATTTGGGCGATAAATTTAGGCAAAATACACTTTTATAGCCACAACTTCCACATTTGAGACAAATATAGTCACAAATTTCGAAAAATACAAAATAGTCATTTACGTCCATCCCTTTAACGGTATGACTGGAGTGACAACTGAGTTGGCGATATATTATCTCCACCAATCCACGCGGATTAAGAGAAGCAAAATTAAAATTAAAAGGAAAATCACTAATCCCCCCACCCCCACCCTCCTGCCTTCCTCCGTTGATTCCCTCAACCCATCCATCCTAACAAATCGCTAAACCATTGTCAGCTCATACACAGATCTTGAATAATCCCTCTTCTTAGAAGAGATCAGAGATCCATTGTCAATCGGTCCCTCGTCGCAGCTTTTGTGCCACAATCGATGCATCTGTCGTTGCCGCCTTGTCGGGGCGTGATCGATTCATTTTGTGAAAGTCATTGTCAATAGTTAGCACGTTTCAATAACTAACCCATCCAGGGCGTAGTCAGGATTTTCGAGTAGGGTGGATCCACTTAAAAAAAATATATAAGAAAAATAGTTTTTGTTAAATTTCTTATTATTCATAGTATGACCTTATATTTAAATTTTTCTGATAAATTGAAATACATTAGCAGTCAAAACTATGAAGGATATCACTCTCTCTGTGTACCAAACATTTATTCATAAAATAGTTAGTCGTTCGCTTTCAAATGACGTTTTTTGTCAATAACCGTAGTATCAATAACTAGCGTAGTTGAGTGAGGTTCAATAATATATCTTATACCATTTACTAACACACCTCCTTATAAGAAAGTCAAATTATATGGAATTGAAGTTTGCACAAAGCTGAATATTGTATGTACTTAACAAATGAGGTCGCCAAAATTCGGATACAAGATATTTCGATCAACTATTATCAATTAGACACAACCTAATTTTCATTATCAATTAACTATTGTATCTAATTTAATTATTTTCCTCCCGAGGTAGGGTGTGTCCCGAAACTATCCCTCACCCTAGCCTATGTCTACTATGCAATGTCTAAATTAGTTGGGTTTAGCGAATGTGGTGAGTGAGCTCTTTTCCGTGGCTTTCGTGGTTATCTGCATGCCTCCGAGTACACCTCCCCTAAACCCATGTTAGTCACCTCGATCTAGCCTATCGTATGTGGGGCATTAAGACAATAGTTCATTTCAATGGGTACTACCCACCGTCCACACCGAGGTTTCATCTCGGGTTCTATCTAGAAAGGCATTCCTATGGCAGGGTACGGTGGCCTCGTCCACCATAGGATCCTATTCATACATCTAACCCTAATTTGCTTGATCACACATACCTGTCTAACCCTAAATCTCCATACCCAGCGTAGAAGCTCAAGTAGGCTAGTAGAGAAGATTAGGGCGACTTACCCAAACACAATTAAAGCTAGAGAAACATTAAAATCAACTAGATGAACACTTTCATTTAGGAATCGTCAACTGCCCACATGCCAAAAAATAGGTTTTCTAGATAATGGCCGAGTCTAAGTAGCCTAGGGTATTGTGACCCTTGGAATACGACCAAGCCGCTTTACTGCATCCCTAGCTAGGTTATACTTGGCCTTGTTAAGATTGACTAGTGTGTGAGTTTTGACTTATAAATTTAAAGCTTGCACCCAACAAGTTTTTGGCGTCGCTGCCGGGGAATTACAATAACTAGTTGAAAGAGTTAGGTTGTTAGTTTAGTCTTTATTTCTTGTCTTTACTATTTGTAATATTAAATAATATGTTGTTCCTTTTTCTGCTTCGTTTTCACCCACTCTTCTCTCTGAAGGGTGGTTTGTGTGTGTTTGATCTTCTTTTAAGTATTTTATTGTTTATACCTTTTGAATAGTGGATCCTTATGACTTCATCAAAGTGTGGGGTGCTCTTCAAAACCCGAGGGTGGTTACCCTGAAGCTTCATAGAACAATCAAGATTGGGGAAGTCAAGGGTTCAGGTTCTTTTATGAACCCCCTTCCAAGGAGAACAACAATACCATTGGGAACTACAAGAAGCTTCCAAATATCACGAATAAAATCTTCCACACTCGGAGCCAAAAAGCCAAATGGAGCTTTTGATGGAACGATTCACTCATAACACTGAAGCATGCTCCGATGTGGTGTCCTCAAACACCACTCCTATTGACTATTCTTTACTACGAACAACATAGGAGACACTCTGAAGAACCGAGAGACTAGGTGAGATTGTCAAGCAAGCATGTACACAACTTGCTTGCAATCATCCCCTACCTTTTGAAGAGAAAAAAAAATCGGAGAGTCTAGCCAAGAAGACTTGAAGAAACAAAATGGACTCATCTTGGAGAGCTCCCGAGATACAAATGAGCAAGCAAGTTCTTTGGTAATGGACCACATTTTGGAGAAAAAAAGAGCGTCGAGAAAGGGGAAGATCGTTCCTACATGGAGCCACAATTCGAAGAAAAAGGAAGGGAGGTTCCAAGTGCATTTGGTGTCCAGCTCGACTTTTACGCTCTCTTAAAATAGGATCCATTTGCGACCCTTTTCCAAACCGAGGCCACACCGTTGTACATCCCCCTTGGTGGATTTAAGGGCAGACGACCAAGATTCTACTACATGGTGTGTGGATAACCATGAAAGCCCACAGAAAAGAGCTCACTCACGACATTCGACAAACCCTATTTATCAGACATTGCATAGTAGACCTAGTCTAGGGCGATGGCATACCCTGAGTACCTCTTCTTATCTATTGATCTTTCATTTAGGAATAGTCAATTGCCCACCTGCCAAAGAACAGGTTGACTAGATAATGACTGAGCCTACGTAGCCTAGGATACCGTGATACTTGGAATACGTCTGGGCCGCTTTACTGCATCCCTAGCTAGGTTATACTTGGCTTTGTTAGGATTGACTAGCGAGTGCGCTTCGACTTATAAATTTAAAGCTTGCACCCATAAGAAACAAACGAAAAACTGAGTTCTGTTATATGGTTTGAAAAAAAGTCTAATAAGAATGCAAGTATTCCCCTCATGTGATTCATTTGTTCCTTTAGCCTTCAGACTTAAATTTTTTAATATTTTAGACCCATAATCAACATCTAATTTATAAAATTTATATCATTCTAAATTCATAATCGAAACCCAATAGTCCGTAATAGTAATTAATCATATACATGATGGAGGTTCAGAGGCCCCCATAATTTGGAGGGCTGGTCCTGGGTGTCGAAGCAAATGATTTAGCTCGAGGGGGCTTCTCCACACCTGGACGTGGACCGAGCTTGGGTGTGCTAGCAAGACTCTAGGTAGAGAGCTCCGCGATAAGCAGGGCACAATTGCTATGTCGCCTCTCCAGGGCTCTAAAGCGGGGAAGTAGGGGGTTCTGGGATGCAACAATAGTTTATGCAGTCAGAGCAGCGGCTGAAGAGCAATGGCACATCTGATGCGCAACAGCAGGGTGAAAAGAGAGTCGTGGATACGGGGGATTTTACAGTGGGTGCTCTCGATCCTGAAGATGATTTTGGGGAGAAAGCGACCAACTGATGTGGTTGATGATCTCCTTCCATAACCCACAACCGTAAATAAAGCAAGAGTTGCAGAAAATGAGACAACAAAGACTCTGGTTGATTCGGTGGAGATCACCAGCCGTGAATGGGTCCAAGATTCCAATTGAAGATGATTGCTTGGAATATAAGAGGAATAAGACCTTCTCTTACATCCATTATATTTTAGGTCTTTTTAGATAAAATAATCCAGACTTTGTTTTCTTTTCAGAGACTAGGTTGGGTAGGAGAGTAGTGTTCCGTTGTATGAAAGGGTTAGGTTTTAATTATTGTTTGTTTATTGATGTTGTGAACTCCGTAGGGGGTTTGGTTGTAGGCTGGGTTTCGAGTTCGGATCTCACTCTTTTGGTGCATTCTAGCTTTTTTGTTGCTTGTCGTATTTGGATAATGAAATGGACATTGAGTATGTTGTGTTGTGTGTGTATTTGGATAGTGTTGTAGCAATTTGTGTGCAACAGCTTCATGTTGTGAATCTCTATTGTCGGTATATTAACGTCCCTATTATAATGCTAGAGGATATGAATTTACCCTAAAATATGATGGGAAAGGTGGGGACACCCTTGGAATCTACCTTCCTCGTATGTCCTTTGTAACTCCATATCGGCTAGACCCATATCTTCATAGAGTGGAGGTGGTAGGATGTTGATGCTAGAACCAAGATACACTAATCATTGTTCTAAATATTGGTCATCTATGAGACAATTGATTGTGCAATGACCAGGATCCTCCTTCTCTTCTTATACTCTGATGAGTTCTTTATCTCCACAAAGAGTTGAGTTGATACTAGGAGACATTCAGCTCTCAATCTTCTCTTTCTCCAGAAGTTGCTCGAGCTTCTCTCTTGGGCTCTCCATATATATCAACAATGCTCTCCAAAAGTGGCATGACACTCTTTTCTCCTCCTCCCAAAGCTTCTACCAATCTCTACACCATTGGAGGAATTTGAGATGCTTCTTCATGGATGGTCATCTCCTTCACCAAGGTTGTGTCATCGTCTTTGTCCTCCTCAGTGAACTGCCCTTCTTCGTCTCTTAGCTTTCCAGTATTTTTTCTTCCTTTCACGACCGTCGCTGGTACCTTTCTCTTCCGCCATTGCCGTTTGTTTTGATGTCCATCACCATAAAAGACAGAAGCAGGAATGGCACTGCTCCTATTTTCATCTCTATGCCTCATTACCTGTTAAATTGTGGCTAGACATGAAATAAAATAAAAGCCAATCAGAAGGGAAAGAAGCGGAAGCTAGCGAAGTAACCATGATAGTAAAGAAAAGAAGGGAAGTCAGTTGTCCTCCCCTAACAACAATGGTTGTTTGTTGGTGGTGGGCTTATCCTTTGTGAATGGAGAAGCAAACCAAGAAATCAAAAGCACATAAGAAGCATTAGGGTATCAATCATCCATTCCGACACCTCAGCGAACCCACTCTTGACGGGCTCTCCAACGACAATGCGATTCGAATATCTCCGCTAGCAAAATCCAATTGAGCCAGGCAACCATCGAGCGAGACCTACAAGGTTAAGCAAGGTAAAAAGTTGTTGCGTGGAATTTGAGGATCTGGGTCTTGTAATGTGGATGGAGTCGAAGGTTGCAATGCAATGGGATGTAGGATGCGCCAGTTAGGGTTAGCAAAGTTGGAGTCTTTGATTGGGAAAATAATTAAATTAATTTTTCTTTAAATAATTATAGAATAAATGGAAATAGAGGGACGATATGGTCATTTTTAGTTACTGAACTGGCTAAGTAACATATCAAGCAGATAACAACCGAGCATAAGTAGCCTAGGATACCATGACCCTTGGAATACAAACTCAGTCACCACTATACTACTTTGCCGATCTAGGGTGGACTTGTCCTAGATTAGGATAGTTAGTATTGTCGACGATCGAGTTTATAAATGTAAAGCCTGATGTGTGATGCATCATAACTCGTGATAGGTTCTCAAATCTAGTAGTCATTCCATATAAGGCTATGATATAGTTAATTAGTCATGCACTCCTCATAAAAACTCAGGATTCTTATTTGAAAGACTAAAACAACAAAATTTGGAGAGCACCAAAAATTTTCTTTTTCTTTTCACAAAAATTGAGTACTTTGCTATGGTGACTTGCAAGTCACCACGACTTGGAAAAAATGGTCGAGCTCTTCACTAATATGGTCAACTTATTTTGACAAAATGGTTGACATCTTTGTTAGAATGGTCGACCAGATGTACTATTTTCTATTTTTCTATGTTCAACAAACGATCGACCTCTTCCACTAAAAGGTCAACCACTTTACAAGCAAACGGTCTACCACTTCCATCAAGTGGTCTACCTCTTTCACCAAGTGGTCCACGATTTCATTAACCGGTCGACCTGATGAACCATTGCTAGTGATATAATCACACATAATTAGAGTCCAATGATAATAAATATGCTTGCTAGCAAGAGATTTAAAATTAGTACAAAGACTGCAAGCATATATGGCAAGTTTCTCGAGTGATTGTTCTCTCATAGATTTCAAAAATATTCCGCATATTTATTTCTTATATTTGACTTACTCTATAGAGACTTTCATCTTTCCTTCAAATTCTAAGTTTGCTTGTATTTTATCCTATCATTGTCTTGCGACCAGTTGCCTCAAATGGTAGAAAAATTGGTGGAAGTGGTAGACCATTTTCTTGAAAATTGGTCCACCACTTGAGGGAAGAGGTCTACCACTTGAAGGTAAGTGTATCTTCAAGTCGACCCATTTTCGGAAGTGGTAGACCGGTTGACTCAAGTGGTAGACCATTTGTTGGAAGTGGTAGACCATTTTTTTTTTGGAAAGTGGTCGACCGTTTGGTGGAAGATGTCAACCACTTGAAAGTAAGTGTGTAATCAGGTCGACCTATTTCCGGAAGCGTTAGACCGGTTGACTCAAGTGGTAGATCACTTGGTGGAAGAGGCTGACCATTTTCTTTAAAAGTGGTCAACCACTTAATGGAAGAGGTCGACCGTTTTCTCCAAGTTACGGTGACTTGCAAGTCATCATAGGCATATCCAAAAATTGAAAACACCAAAATTTTCCTCCTTGTTTCTCTTCCCATAAATAAAAAGCGCCCAAGTTTCACTCTTTTTTCTCTTCCAAAAATTTTAAAGAAAAAAAATGTTCTTCTTTCCTGCCCAAAAAAGTTGAAAAGTACAAAAAATTTCGCTTATTTCTCTTTTCATAAATCAAACTCAAATAATTTCTCACTTATTTCTCTTTGCATAAACCAAAAGCACCCAAATTCTCAGTTTTTTTTCCAAAAATAAAAAAAAAACCAAATTTAACTCTTCTTTTTCTTTTCAAAAAGTTGAAAACACTAAAATTTGGCATTTCTTTTAAAATAACCAAATTACTATACTCTATTTATATTTAATTGATAACTTTGTTGAATATTGAAATTAACAAGAATTTTAATGTGTATATACTAAATTAATGTTCAAGTGAATTTCAATATATTTTTTAATTTATCTTTTCAAGTGAATTTCACATTTTGAACTTTCTTTTACTAAATGAAATAATAGTTTTACTTAGGTTTAGAATAAAAAATTTCATTATGAAAGACTACATATTATTTAATACAATAATTATTCAGGTCAATGGGGTGGGTCACGGGTTATTCGGATAAATTTGGCTCGGGTCAATAAAGTTACATGTTTAATCGAGTTGCCGATCAATTAAGTCTGTGTTAATCAGGTTGCGAGCCAATAAGGTTACCGATTAATCGAGTTGCGGGTCAATTGAATTACGGGTCGGGCGGGTTGCAGGTCATTGACTTTTAGTCAATTCGAATTGGGATCAGACAGATTACTCGAGTCGGGTCCTGTTTTGACACCTCTTACTACAACGGGTGGCAAAGAAAAATTTGTTTGATGTAAGGACTTGGGATGTCACTGAAGGAATGTATGATAAATGATTGGATGTGGAGTATTTGGAGGAATGCGTTAGTAAAGTGGTTTGGTGGTCTCGAGTCCTCAAAACTGCTCTTTTGGCTTACTATTACTGGACCACCATTTAAGAGTAGTTATAGGAACAAAACTTGCAGCAACATTATTCTGGAGTGATGATTCACGCATGCAGTAAAAGATGATCAGTGGATGAAATCGAAATGAGTATTGATGGTTTTCTTTATGGGGCTGAGAAATTATATGGGATGTTTTGACTTTTGAGATTATATATGTAGTACATATTTTGCCCAACAACTATATTATGACTCAAATGGTTATTGGTTTGATATACATTTTGGATATGGATATGGATTTCAAGGTAGTTTCGTATTCTACAGCTACCACCAGTCCATCATGATATATATTGTTCATTTACCTTCTTGGTAATTCACTATGTGGGAATGTGATTTAAATTCCCATTTTATATAAGTTTCCTTGTAGTGGTATATCAAATTGTCATAACATTAGCTAAAAATAATATCTATCCTTTTGTGTTAGGGATATACCAAAAAATTTGGCTTTCACTTAAAAAGAAGAAAAATATACTACAATATTCCAATTTTGTACAATCATATCTGCCCTTTATGCTAGTGAGATGTATCAAATTATCATAACGGATTACAATCATGCCCTATTAATAGTTAGGGATATGAGAACAATGCCTATGTTTGGTATGACTTTTAGAAGTAATTTTCGGTCTCAAAAGCTGAAGAATGGTCAATCACTTCTAAAAGCTCAACTTTTAAAATGCTGAAAAGTGCTTTTGTATAACATAAAAGCAGAAGCTCCATTTTGAAGCTTTTGCGAAAAGCTATTTTGAAAATACAAGATTATCCTTACCATATTTTAATTTTATTTCTTAAAATATAATTTTATTTCATTTATATAATTTTAAAGTAAATTGTAAAATCATTTTATTTAATATAAAAGAAATAATAATATCTAATTTGACTACTTTTTATTGTTTAGAATTTTTATTCATATTTTTATTATAAATATTTTTTATTCATTTTACATAACCTCTTATATTAAAAATCACTTATAATATTTTTTCAGTCAAACACTCAATTGATTTTTTTGAAAAATACTTTTCTTAAAATTACAGTCAGAAGCTGTTTATGCAAAAACTACAACATGGTCAAACTAGTCCAATATAGATTTGATTGTTGTTTGGATATGAAAGTTTTGAAATTAGTAAAAAAAATTTATATTAAAGAATTATGAAGATGCAATATGGATGTTGTTGGTTGTTGTTTTGAGGATTTGTTTCCATTTTACCAAACTTCTAAAAAGCATTCAGAATATCACACGTACACTAAATTTTTTCAAAATGCACAAGTTTGGGATGGTTCACTTCAGTATCCATTCGCTAGAGACCGAAGAGAGTTTACCTATATTGCATTCAACTAAACCAATAACATAAATCGCGGGCAACAAATGCAATTTAGCTGCAAAATCGCTACCAACTCCAGTGTTTGCATCTTACATACGCTCAAACTTGGAACGATTTTAATTTTGAACTTGGTTATCCAATCGACGTAATTTTAATTATTATTTCTCATATTATACCTATATGTTGTCACACTTAACATGAAAGAGGAGAGATCATATTACAGTTCACCAATACAAGGTATTGCTACTTGTGGGTTTGGCCCTCTAAGGCCGATAACACAGTAGCACCTTTCCTCCGCACTATAGACTCTCTTACACTTCATTCCTTTGCATTCCACATCTCTGCAGTATGCCTCATCAAAATTTGGAACCATCATGTTGCTTTTCTTCATCTCTTCTTTCCCCGACTCCACCATTGTACCTAGAAAATACATATACAAGGATGATTTCATCAAGAAGATGTACCAAATTAAATTCAAGAATAATATTTTAGTCTTGTATTGAAGAACTTATGTGTTGCTTCCAAAATTCGTATGCTCGCTTCTGCAAGTTTTGTACGAAAACCTTGTAAATTTGTTACCTTATAACCCTTCATCCGAAATACTTATTTGTTATGCGTGTATATATGATATCTCACCATAATTAGTCCAAAAATGTCTAATTTTTGTTTGCGATTACCATCGTGTTTACAGAAATGAATTTCCTTTGCTAAATATATGTGAGTTTCAAATTTGAGACCAATGACAACGAATAGGAGAATATTCTAGTTAATTATATGAAGGAGGACATACACAAAGAAATGGCCAGAAGAGTCATGAAGAAGAAGGCAAGTAGCTTCACTAAAATTTGCATCCTCATATCTTTAAACTTTTCCTTCTAAGAGTTTTTTTAATGTTAGTTTTTCTTTGGATGGATATTGTGCTTTGCTTTGTTATTTATACAGTTATTGAAAATGGTTGGTGAGATTGTATCTTTTCATTTTCAGATTTCAATTAGTATCAAGAAGGAAAGTGTTTCTAAATAATAATGAAACTTACTAATAGGTAAAATAAGCTAAATGGATATATTATAATAGCGCCTAAATAAAATTTTGGAAATCCTAATAGAATTTCTAATCATGCCATTTCTTTTTTCCCCATACTAGAACAGAGGGCGTAGTAAAGAAACACAATTGTAAAACCTATGCAACTAAACTTGATAGCACGTACACAATCAGACTGCCGATGAAAGAAACTCTCATGCCACAACATTGCCAGCTTTGTTGACAAAATCCTTCAACATCAAGTTCATGTAATGTGCTGCACATGGTGTCCAAAACATATGCTTGATGACACATAAAAGTATATATATTCTAGACCCCTGTATTTTGACCCAAAGTTCATACATTTCACATTATTAGCATCCTAATACCTTGAATTTATGCCATGATTGCTTCAAGTGTGTTATAGCAAGTCTAGGATTGTTTTTGTACGATTGATACGCTTTTTGTAGCATTTTGTGCATGTATCGGAGAAAGCAGACTAGTGGACCACAATTGGAAGCCATAAGGGACATCATTTCTTGATCGTTGTGAGTAGACGAGAACTGATAACACTGTGTTAGAACATGTTTTTCCCACCATTTCTTGATCGTTTGAGCTCTCTTTCTTGCTCTCGTTACCTATTTTATGCTAGGTTGTGTTGGTTTATGATGTTTCAGGTCCTAGTACGTGAATAGGTGCGAAGGAGCGAGTTTTGGGACGTTTTGGAGCGAACAAGCAGAGAGCAGGGGAAAGTTACGGTCTGGACCGTAACTTCCCCATGCAAACCGTAACTTTGGAGGAGCAAAGGCAAGGAATCCAAAATAACTTTTAAAGTTACGACCAGACCTTGGAGTTACGGTCTAGAACGTAACTTCTCCTTAGCCCTCGTAACTCTGAGGAAGCGATGCAAAAGGTTCTGGGAGCGTTTTTAAAGTTACGACCTCCTCATCAAAGTTACAGTCTCAACCGTAACTTTCTCTTTGGAGCCGTAACTCTTGGTTTACAGAGTGCTCGAAGTGTCGTTTTACGGGAAGTTACGGGCTGGGCAAGAGAGTTACGACCGTAACTCGCGAATCTCCATCCTTTAAAAGCCCAACTCGGGCAGATTGCAAAGGACCCGGATTCTTGAGTTCTAAAGAGCAGAACCATAAAGAGAGAAAGTGACGAAGAACAACCATGGGAGTAGATTGGAGTGATCTAAGGACATTGGAGCTCGATCTTTCACCCTCGGAGTGCCGATTTCCAGCTTGGAGAAGATTTTCATTCCTCACATGATGATTTCTCTTCCAAGCTTGTTGTTTTCCCTTCTCTCCATGGAGTAAACTCCCTTTTCATCTGGGTAGGAATAACCCTAGTTTTGTATGTTAGGAATGGTTGTATGAACCCTGTTTGTAAATGATTGATTCGATATATTCAATTGAGGCATTAATCAGAATTGCATGAGTCTAGATTCAACTTTTGTGATTCTTGCTTTAACCTAGAACGATAGTCTCTACATAGGTTAATAGAGCAACCTTGGAAGTGGTGAATCGATTGCTTTAGTCGATACATCGATTCACTGCTGTACTAGAATTAAAGCCAGTAGAGGAAGTTTGGTGTGTTATTGCCTTGGTTAGTTTATGCCGGTGGAGGTTAGTCTCCCGCCGAGTATTTAAACTGAGAGGGTCTGAATTACTTTAGTCAAGATTCTAGACTTGTTAAGAACTTTTCGCAGAGTATCTATCAATCAGAGCAAATTGGGAACATATAATATGAACTAACTGCATACTAGGGGGACTCATATCTGGATGACCTTTAGCATTCTTGAAAACCAGAACACTTCCTGCTTTTTGTTTACTTTGATTTTAAACACTTCACTCAACTTTTCCTGCTAGATAATAGATAATCACAGAGTAGGCAGTACATCTAGGCCTCTGGTTGATAAGTAAAATTGATCCACTGTTCTGCATTTCCATTCTATGATTACACTTGGTCATAGTTTGGTGTTGTGTTTTAGCGAGTCAAAAGCCTATCAAGGAAAACCCCACTATTGCTCCTTATTCTTGTGATGATGTGAAGCAAGGACCTAAGACGAGTACTAATCCCGCAAGGAACCAAAGGAAAGAATGGCGGGAGAAAATGAACCATGTTTTGCCCTAAAAGAAGGAGAAGGGCAAGGCAAAGGTGAATGGCCAAGAGGACCACCCTTTTGAGTTGTAGATTAGAGGTAATGAGCCTTGCCCCGAGATAGCGGCGGATCCACTCTTGGTGGCCTCATGTTTGCAAGTATGATGATCCACAATGTCTAGCTAAGGATGTAAAACAAGTGCTTGTTGGGACGCAACGTAACACAACGCTTGGTGTGGACGGTGGGTAGTACCCATTGAAATGAGCTACGAGCTTAATGCCCCAGATACGATAGCCTAGATCAAGGTGACTTTATATGGGTCGATGGGAGGCATACTCGGAGGCGTGTGGATAACCATGAAAGCCCACGGAAAAGAGCTAACTCACCACATTCGATAAACCCTAAGCATCTAGACATAGCATAGTAGACCTAGACTAGGGAGAGGGAATTACCCCGACCACCTCTTTTCTTCTATCGATCTTTAGTTTAGGAATCGTCAACTGCCCACCTGCCAAACAATAGGTTGACTAGATAATGACCGAGCCTAAGTAGCCTAAGATGTCGTGACCCTTGGTATATGAACGAGTCGCTTTGCTACATCCCTAGCTTGGTTATACTTGGCCTTGTTAGGATTGACTAGTAAGTGCGCTTCGACTCTATAAATTTAAAGCTCGATCGAAGTAGTGATCAAGCTTTTTTGCTCCATTGCCGGGGAATCTTGTTTGTTTCATTTTGTGCTTTGTTTTCATCCAATCTTCTCTTTGTAGAGTGGGTTCTGGTTGTTTGATCTTTTCTTTAGAGTTTTGTTGTATATAGCTTTAAAATCATGGAACCCTATGACTTCAACAATGTCCTAGGGTATTCACCGACGTTCAAGGGTGACTACCCCAAAGTTTCTTGGAACGATCAAGATGAAGGAAGTCAAGGATTCAGATTCTTTTATGCACCTTCCTTCCAAGAAGAACAAGTTTACCAGTGGGAATTACAAGGCGCCTCCCATTTAAAAGAATTTAGTCTCACACAAATGGAACAAAAATTCCATTTGGAGCTTTTGATGGAGCGATTCACTTAGGATACCAAAGCATGCTTCGTTGTTGAATCCTCAACCACCGCCCCGATCGACTATTCCTTATTAAGGACAACGGAGGAGACGCTCTGAAAGATGGACATACTAAGTGAGATTGTTAAGCAAGCGTGTGCACAACTTGCTAGTGTTTCTCCCTCACCAAATGAAATGAAGAAGAAGGATGTAGCGGCCAACCAAGAACTTGGAGAAGCAAAACAGACTTATCTCGGAGAACTCCCTAGATATTGTCAAGCAAACACATTCTCTATAAATGGACAGCACTCGGGAAGAAGGAAAGAGTACCGAAAAATGGAAAGGTCTTGTTCATTCCTACACGAAGGCACAATTCAAGGAGGAAGAAATAGCAATTCCAAGTGCATTTGGTGTCCAACTTGACTTTTACACTATCTTAAAAAGGACCCATTTGCGACTCTTTGCCAAAACGAGGCCACATCGTCTAATATCCCTCTTGGTGGAGTTAATGACGTTCAACTAGGATTTTATTACATGGCATGGGACATGGAAAAGAAGAGGGAAAAGACGCATTAGTTGGGAGGTACCCAACAACCAGTTTGCATTTTCTTACCTTTTTCAAAATAAAAACTTGCATGCTTTAACTTGTTTTAGATATTTTCTATAGTTTTTGTTAATGAATTAATCCCTTTAATGTCAAGTAGTATATGAATGATTGTTGGAGACTATCTAGTTGCTTAAGGAATGGTTGCAAATGTTGTTTTTAAGCAAGAGCGCTAGCCTACCACTTAAGCTACTTGGGGTAATAGAATGGCTTGGCTAGTGCAATAGGATCATAGAATGCATGCTTATGATTGTGTATGTGTGTTTGGAGGCCTTGTTGGTCTTTATCTTTATGAATTTGTGGAGTTTGAATGCCTCCAACCAAGTGCTCGATGAAATGCCCGAACCACATAAAATTTGTTTTTATTGATCCATTGCTTTTCAATTAAACTTGTTTGACTAAGATAGACCCTTAGAAGTGTATTTATGACTTAGGATTGAATCCTTCATGCATGTTATTTGAGTTTTAAATTTTGGCTCACTTTGATTTTGTGCTTCGTTATGCTTTTAGAGCCAAGAGTTCAAGCTTTGATTGTTGTCTAATGAGTTGATTTTAGGCATCGGTCGGGGTTTAGAAACCTCTTGAAAGATATGATGCCCTTGTGTTCATGCATCTAGACCTTGACCCTAGTAAATACAACATGCATTTCTACCTATGCACCTCTAGTTTCTACATTGTAACACTTAAGTGCGGGGGTGTATAGAGTGAACCTACGGATGGATTTTGTTGATCAATTAATCTAGTGAGTTGCCTAATGGTTTGTTTGAACATGTTTTGTGATTTTTATCGTCTAATGGCGATCCAACCGAGGGTGAGAGTGCTAGTTCTTAGCACTCAACAACGAAGGAACCAGAACCACCCATGATGAGAAGAACCACATTTTCCAAGAGAAGTACCATAACCTCAAATCGAGGAGCAACCACACAAGCACAACAAAGCAACCAATGGAGGCGAATACGAGATATGTGGACCATCTTGGCAAAAAAGAACCTTCGATTTGCAACTTGCATATGCTCCAACCGTACATCAAAGACATCTTGGCATCTAGGGGCCGATATCTATCTTTTATATCCTTTTCTTTTTAAATACTTAGTATGTTTAATAAAATATGTGTTTGTGGTAGATTAGCTTTTGTATTTTGTTTGTGGATAACCCATTCTCCCTCTCTTATTTGAGCGTATAAATGCTAATCATCTAGATCAATGAAGACCTACACTTGTGGACCCTAGTCAACCCACAAACACCTATGGCAACGCTTCTTGAACTCTACCTTTAGCTCCCACATTAAGGACAATGTGTCTCTTAAGTGTGGGGGGAATGCATTGCATGCTTTAAAAAGTTCATGATGAATATGCAATGAATCGTTAGTAGCCTCCCTTAATTATGAATGTAAGACTTTTTTTTTGACCGGTAATGTAAGACGTTGATGATTGCTTATGGGAGTAAATGCTATCGATTGATCGTGTTTTGTGGTGTTGAATGGCTTACAGATAGTGTTTTGTAACCTTGAATGCATTACCAAACTTTTTTCAAATTTGAGGGTTCCAAATCACCTTGTTCCTTGCCACTCCCTACTCGATATGCTTTGATTTGATAGATGATAGATGTGTTGTGCTCGCTAGGTGATAGTTGCATGATCAGAGTACCAATGTATGAGGAATTTTAGTATCTTCTTCCTCTTTTGTGAGTCGATAAAGTTTGTTATTTTAGGAAGAACATGTGTGCGGGATTCTCTTTTGTTTGTTTTGTGAAATCGAAGCTTTTACAAATTTTTGCGTATTAGACAGAAAGAAAAGAGAGAAAAATATTTTGAAAATGAGGTTCTCACGTGAGAGGCAACCAATCCTCACGAATTCAGAGTGCCCTTTGAGGATATGCTTGGGGATCGGATAGCCTTACCGCGTCCCGACCATCTTTCACTACTTAACATCCCCCAAGCATCCTTCCTCACGAAATCGTATGCCAAAGTACAAAGTAATTTTTAGCGATTTATGAGACCTCAAAGTTCTCGTTTGTACCCAACATGTGTGGCAACCCAATGTGAAGTGTAGGCTGGGAAATGGTGCTCGAGCTAAGACGAATCTGCCCATCAACTCCCCAACATGTGACCTTGAAAGGGAAGGCTATGATTCATCCGTTCTTGGTCATGAGGGAGAGATGCTTGTTTCCAAAATCTTGGTGCAATTAGCGTCAACGTTGAAAAAGGAGACCAATAAACGAAAAATCCTAATCGTAAGAAAGAATAAAGAGCACCTTCGAGAGTTCATGTGCTTATTTTTGTTTGAGAAATCCCCCGGTGCACACCTTGAATGTCGAGAGTTTGTGCTTGCACAGTGAGATGATAGTAACGTTTATTCGTCTCTGTCTACTCTTCTTTATGCAATGAAGAACTAGAGTGCATTCTTCATTAATTTTTCTATCATTTTGCATTAGGTTTAAGTAGGTTTGATTGGGGACAATCAAACACCAAAGAGTGGGGGAGTTTCCAACACCCAAATTGGTGTTATTTGTCCTTCCTATTTATGTTTATTTCGTACTAGTTAGTGTGCATAATCATTAGAATAGTGTCGATTGCATCCCTATTTCATTCCTATTTGATCAGGATGTGATTTTAGGATGCTTTAGAAGATACATGTGAATTAGGTATGAAAAAGGTGTGCAAGTGTAGAAAAGGGGCAAAAACGGAGATCATAGTCGGAGGAGCAAAGATCCCAGCTAGGGATGTCAATCCAACCCGTAACCATGGGTACCCTACCCGACCGTAACCGGTCAACGAGGGTAATTACTCGCTTTGACGGGATAAGGGGCGGGTACGGGTAATACCCATTTCAAAATAAAGGGTAGGGTACGGGTATGGTAATCGATAATACCCACCCCGTTATACTCGCCCTGCTAATTAAAGGGTCAATTTCCTTAGCCCTAACCCTACCCAACAGTCAAATTTTCTTGCCCACACAGAAGTGAGGTGCTTGCTCAGGCTCTTCTTGACACTTTACTTGCTTGGGATATTGACACAAAGGTATCTACGATTACCTTGGATAATTGTTCTACTAATGATGCCTTGATGGATGTCATGAAACATAAGTTAAGCAGTGAGCATTTGATGTGGTCTGGTTCTAATATTGTCTTTGGTGTTTTTGTTTATGTGTGGATTGTTGAAGCTAGAATAAATATGATGTATTGTGTTTTTGTTTGTGTGGATTGTAGAAGCAAAAAATATTATTATGTGTTTGCTGTTTTTATTTTTGTGGATTGTTGAAACTAGAACAGTTACAAGTATTGAGAATTTTTAATGGACAATAGCATGTATGTGCATATATGTGTATAAGTTCATATTTTAGGATTCGTATCCATGGTTACCTGAGTACCCGTTGTTACCCGGTGGGTAGGGTATGGTTATATCATTTTCATACCCGATGGTTATTTGATCAGGTATTTTAGAAGTTTCTACCCGGCGGGTTAGGAGTTGGTATAGGGTAAACTAGCACCCGACCCTACCCATTGTCATTCCTAATCCCAGCCTTCAGAGCCAATATCCCGGCCGTTAAGATAGGGAATGAACTAGAACACAAGATCGCAACATGTAGTGCAAAGATCTCGGTCGCGATCTTTTGCCTCCAGCCCGTGAACTTGAATTGAAAATCGC